GTCCGGTGCTACGTAATACTATTACAGTTTGAATTATTAGTCAAGCTCGAGTTTATTGGACTTGCATCTGACTCTTGTCCTTTATCTCATTACTTGACGCTTCCAGATTTCTAGTCCTGATCGCCACTGGGGAGGTGCTGGCCCTTGATCCTTCTTCTGCTGTCGAGTAGAAACTCCATGCTGTTGGCTGTATCGTTGACAAATAGCAAAGGCACACTTTCTTCGTGTCATTTCGGCTATCGTCATGTCCAAACTTCTTGTTGCGATAGCCGCTATTCATATATATATTGTAACAGAAAGACCTAAGGAGAATTGAAATTGACATGTAATATGTAACACACTTCCTGCGAGACATACCATTATCTGCCGCCATGAATAACTTGAGCGCGGGATGATAACGAGATCATTAACCGGCAAGACATTTTCTTTACTTCTCAGTTGAGTTTGTCATCCGTGAGTTCAACACAGAAAGTCTTAATTAGCGAGCAAACAGAAAAGGAGAGCCGTCCGAAGACAACGATAGAGATGGCTTTCCAGATAGAAAGGCCGAATCGTCGGTGAGGTCTGAGACCGAGAGAACTCAGGAGGAGAATATGGGGTGGTGGCGGAGGATGGAGGGATCATGCTCAACGAGTAGTAAGTCGGTAAGCGAGTGAATAAGCATGGGCGGTGGGCGGCATTCCTAATTTGTCCTTTGTGGCATTACGTTAGTTTCAATTCATGTTAATGTAGAAGCATGGAAATTTCATTTGGTTGCACATAAAGGACATTCAAGAGAAGGTAGACGGTTGGGTGGGAGATTCGGAAGGCTCGAGGCTATCTAGAGAGAGTTCCGCAGCTACACAACTTTCATCTACATTATCTTTTTGGATCCCTTTATTCTCCTCTCCAGCTCACTCCCGTCGGAATCACAAGGAAGCAAGACCTCTTGATACCATGCTAATGGATTTCTGTGACCACTCGTCAAAGTTCCCCCGGAAATTCAACTATTCTCGAGATTCTTTTGCGGTTCCTCGTAATTCCTAAAGGATCCTCGTACGATTATTGGTCGAAGGTCTAGCGCGTATCCAGCACAGCTACGGGCTGCAGGAAATACAGGAAATACAGGAAATAAAATTAAATAGCACCTGTCATTTGATATGCGAACAGAGTCGAGTGTATGGCCAAATTAAAAGCAGAGTAACGCACTGAACTTTAAGTTATCGTGGCGCGACTGTGACTGGAATGGTCTTGAGGTCGCGCGTGAGTGACCCACCGGCAGACATTTCAGAGAGACGGTCACGAATGTTCGGAGCGAGCAAGCGAGCAAGCGAGCCTCACCGGATCGATATCCCGTAAGCGCTGCTTCCCCGGGCGTCGCTGTATTTTCATTCCGTGGAATCAGCAAAATTCCGAGCGGTTTCGACGCGGTCGCTATGCTAAACCGATTGCTTGTTGTTTCCTGCATAGAGAAGGGTAGGTGGATAGATAAGGGAGACAGAAAGCGAACGCTTTTCGCAGAGAGCAACTGGAATGGCTGTGGAATGACTGGAACTCTAAAAGGGATTCGAGGGAGAGAGAGAGAGAGAGAGAGAACATATGAGAAACGCCAAGTTCACTCGCATGGTACGATTTCTCGTACATAAAATTAAGATTCAGCTACGTGTTGTAACATCAAGATTGTCTGTTGTTCTGTTCTTCGTGTATTCCATACAGAAGCTCGACTAAACCGACTGAAAGACGAGCCTCAATCTCGTGGCTAAAAGATGGACAAGTCAAAGCCAAGATCCAAAGAGGGCCTCCAATGAGTTCGAGTCACTGCAGATCGCAGCTGACTCTTGTGCCTTGGGCGAAATACCGAGATCTCGGGTAAACCCGTTCGGAGGGAGATGGGAGATGGCGAATAGGCTTGAAAGGGATGAGACTCTGAAGACCTAGCTGACCCGAATGCCTGATATCTTGCGGAGAGAATGAGAAACCGAGAAACCGAGAAACCGAGAAACCGAGGAAGCCAGTAGCAGCGATGTTAGCGACTTTAAACTCGCGTACATTTGCTTTGGAGGTGATTCATGATAGTCAGGCCAGCTAGCCCACCGACCAACCGTCCCGAGTTATAAACGGCCGAGCATTAACACGACTAGCGAAGATGCCGAGATAACTCGGTTAAATGTTTGCTGCCTCATAGGCCACCGTCATGCGATCCGATTTCAGTACACATTCGCTATTGCGATTCCACGTGACCGTATGCTAAATCAATTGATGCAAACACTTTGTTCTGCGTCCCTAAAGATATCAAACTTGAAGGGATGAGAGCAGTCAAGAATAAAAAAGAAATACAATAACTAACGAGACCAACCAGTGATATATCGGCCTATCTGGAATCTCAATGCCCGCAGGGATACCTTGCCGCGAAGTTGAGAACGTATCACGATGCTCTGGGTAATTGTAGTCCCGCCGAGCGATAAAGTCCCCCACAGCTAACCGGATCTCTCCGTTTCCTTCGTTTACGACTCTTCCCTGTTCCTTCTCTTCTCCTCCTTCTTCACCCTTTCTTGCCTTTCTTCGGCCCCATGAGATCTTTTCGGTCATCGGACGAACGACTGAATGACTCTAATCGTTGTTGGGAAAACCGAGAGAATCGGGTGGTTGGCTTTGCATCGGCAAGCAAGTTTCACTGCAATTTGGTGGAATACGATCGCGATGGGTGGTGCGATACACGCATGGGAAGCCCACGAGAATGGAGTCATGTGTAATCGAGGAAGCGGATAGACAGCGCCACGATGATCGCTTGTCGAACCACGACCATCAGAATCTGACAATTTCCTCATGAGCACTTTCATACTCTTACTTTCTTTGACGCATAGAAATACATTTTCTTCTACAACGCACCTATCCTCTCAAACCTACTCCTTCACGCACAAGCGGAGCGTTCATCCAGCGAAGCGTAAATTACTAGCGGACTAATTGACTCTTTTTTTTTTTTTTTTTTTTTTTTTTTT